TGTACTATGAAATAGATGTAACAATAAGAAACAAAAAAAGCAAGTTTTGAGATAAATTGTGAAAACATCACGTTAGTTGAGTACAAAATTTTGATTCTTAAAATCTTTAGAGAAGGAGTTGAGTTCAAGTTACCAAGTATTTTGACATAGCGAGATTAGAGATTACGAAGAATAATCTTGTAGTTCGACACTCGAAAAGCCGAGTATCACTAACGGACACAATTTTTAAGGTATATTTCTAACTAAATGTACGAATTTTTAACGCCATGTAATGTACTATGAACATTCACAAGCCTATAAACAATTTTAATACCCTTACAAAAGTGTTCAAAGCAAACAAATCTCCTTTAGCTTTGGGAAGATTGCCTACTCAAACGATATCTTTCATAGTGACAACGCCACGTCAGAGTGCTCTCGTGGGTTATCGATATATCGAGATATGCAGAGCGAGGTCAAGGGAACAATGATGTCTAAATATCGGGAAAAGGTGGCGATAGTATGCGTGGGCCCAGTAGGTGGGCGCAGAGGGGTCGTGCCTCTTCCTTAAAAATTCGAAAGGGGTCCCGTAGCACCGTGTAATAAAATATGTAATTTACAGAGGTCCCGTAGCCCCCTTGAAAAATATTCAATTAAACAATGACGCCTATGCCACTATTTATTGTAAATCAGGCCTGTTATCATACAGTGAAACTCAACAATATAAGAAAATATCCCGAAGAACTTAAGCAGGAAATTTCACAGAGATGATCATTGTATTAAATTCCTGGAAATATGTCCAATTCCTTATTTTCCCCTTTTTGAAGCTGATTGTTTGGAGAATTGATTCTCATTTATTGGAGAAGAGACTCTCCAAACCATCAGGAAGCGCTATAAATGGTTCAATATAAAATCAATAATTGATATTAATTCATTTTATTAATTTATTGATTTATTAGTGATTCCGGGCGCGTCAGGGATAAGGCCATGATTCCCGTAAGTGTAGTGCATGATTTTATCGCATGAAGTGCGGTGACCTTCTCCCGCTGGATAATGAGAACCCACACCCACCTACGTCGGATTTTTCCGGAATTTGGAGGCTTTCCCCAATCAGGAATGTTGCCATGTCAGGTGTGTGTAGAGAGGCAGCGCCCCAGCCGGAGCAAGCTGATTTTCCTTTATGTGTAGTAGTGTAGTGTAGTGTAGTATTGTCGTTCATCCGAAATTTGTATTGGCCCACATAACGTTGTGTTCCGGAAGAATGTCACACTAGTAGAGTTTGAGTAACAATATATTATTTTCTTTTCAATCAATAGCTCAATGACTATGTCTTGAGAATCAATAATAATAGACAGTGAGAGATAATGACTGATGAAAAATCCGTGTTAAGGAAAAAATGCATCAATCGAGAAATATAGTCCACTCAATTTATTTCTTCTTTGTTTCACGTACGAGATTATTGTGTCTCAGTATGCTCTTAAATCTTTTTAAAAGTAAGATGTGCGTTGTTACATTTATCCTAATCATGCCATCCGTTATTGTAGGACATGATACTGTTCACCGTTTCAAATTCTGCTATGAGGATCCAACGGAAGTTGATGTCCGGTATGTTGCGTGATTCGGAAGTACGGTGACTGATATTATTTTGTTACCCACGTTCAGTAATTAACCTCGGAACTGAATTAGTTGTTTGGAGTCGCTGCTCTGAGGACTACAATATGTTTAATTTGACATACATGGGTCTATCTATGTATTTGGTGCTGGAGTGTCTGAGTAAAGAATGCAATAATTTTTTTTATAAATTTGTCAATTTTAGTACGATAGAGGTTTTGCAGCGATCAGGTTTTTGTCCAGTTTCCCTGATACATTTAGAAAATGTTGAGATGGCCCCTTGTTTTGCTTCTGGACGTAAATGTAGCTTCACTATGCGCAAGTTTTGTTGAACTCCCCTTTTGCTTGTAGTAGTAGGAGTAGAGGTAAGTGCGAGTTAGTATTTTGTTAGCAATGCAGAGAAATCAAACATGCAGTTCGTTTACCGTTGCAAATAAGTTTTCTGTAACTCGAGAAGGAAAATGTATAGTTTTTCAAATGTTGCTAATTTCTCGCTTTTTTATTTTTATTTATTTATCTTTAATTTTTACTTACCTTTCAACTATTAATTGTTAAAATAATGGGAAGGGCTTCTGGAGGTCAGGAAAACGTGCTCAGATGATCTCCCCATACGTCACATACAATTTTTATTGTTTTTAAGTATATAAATAAAAGACTGCCTTAGCCAGCGGACAGGATCTTTTTTTCGCATCCATACCTCAATATTCCGTCTGATAGGATAGGATAGGTTGCCCATTGCCTTCTTTTGAAACCTTTTCCCTTCTCACCTTTGAGCCTTTGTTAACTGAATAAGTTAACAACAGCAAAATAGTTTTAATAATATCATCATTGTACTTTCTTTTCTTTAGACCGTTTGTTGGATAAATCAACAACTGCAAAATCAGTCAAAAACGCCATGTAGCGCAGGTCATATTAAACTGGAAATTCATAGAAATAATGCAATTATGTAGGCTAGTAACCATTGCGGTGCACCTGCATTGAGAAATGCAAATAAGTTCTTTATTTTACTCGTAGACGTATTTGTGAGATTGGTTTGTTCGATGAGAAACGAAATGACGACGCTAGGGGGAGTTTACCTTGTTACCAACAGACATACCTCAGCGGGTCTGCATAGGCGCACGTGCCATTGTTAGTCTGGATCGGTATATGGAACATAAGTACAGGAGTGTTTGTTTATAAATTCTTTTTTAGGGAAATGAGAAAGAGTTCATTGTAACATATGATCATAAACAGAACATTACGATTTTTAACATGGTGCACGACGTATATTTTGTAAGTAGCTGTAAGAAGCCATTTTTTGAGTTTGTATAGAAGCACTACAAGAAACGAAGACTTTTCTACATGTTTTTGTTACCAATACGTCAAGACATACAGATCTACGTAAAATAAATTCTTACAAATCATTCTTTAAATTTACTGCTTCAACGACAGAGGAAATGAATGTTAATGATTTGTTTTCTGATATTTTAGTGTTTTCATACGTAATGTATAGTATTTAAAGGCCTTGTAATATCTCCCTGAGGCACTCACGTTTACCGTATGCGGCGTGATTCACACTAACTGCGCAAAATATTTTGGTGCCCTGCTTTGATCCCTCTTGACCCCCCCTATGTTATCGCTTGTGCGGAACTGTAAATTATATCTTTCCCTTGAACCTTTTATCACAGAATAGAAAGTAAAGAGAAAGGAAACTTGGTGGCCTTTCCTTTAGATAGAGAATAATCTACCTCCATGAAACGTGTTTCACTATTAACACAAACTAGTGGTGCTACAACAGCACTTACTGTATTGCAATGAGGAAAATAGGTGGGCCAATTATATGGAAACAAAGTATGAGGAAGTTTTATGGAAACCAATAGTTTGGGAAACGACATGTCTTCACGACACAAGGCACAGAAAATAATAAATACATCGTTGTATACCTTTCTTATTACTAACACACATTTTAACTATACAATATTTAAAAGTTTAATGTCCACAACGAAACAAGGTTAACCATGAGCAACAACCGGTTACACAACATTCACGGTCTCAAAACAGCAAAAAACGCATGCCATACAAACAGAACACAGTAACGGAGATATCAACAGCGACGGCCCATCACTGCCTCTTAAACTACAGGTGACCCTAGTGGCGTTGGGTCAATGAACTCGGTTTCCATTTGACGGATACGGAATGAATTTGGCGTGTGGAGTAGGGAAGTTTCCATTCTGTATACTCTCTAATCAATGCTTTTATCATGCTTTAATATACAACTTTATGACTCATGATGTAAGAAGAAAAAAATATTCTTGAAGGACATAAACTGTGTGATATCTCTCACTAAATCATTCCACTAATTAAAGTTTATGATAAATATGACAAAAATAATAAAGTAACACAATTAGATCGTGTATCAGTTGACGGATGCAGAAAGTATTTCATATATCTATCAATTTGTGCGCCTTTACCATAAATACTTTTGAAATATAAACTAGTTGTATTACAGCATTACACAATTTCACGCATTATATTTGAAAAACTATTTCAAAATTTGCAGTTTTCCGAAATCCACAGCATTTATTGCACTTTTCTTAATTAAAGACAATGTGCAGTTTTTATTCTTTTGAATATTAAAATATAGTACAAAACTTAAAGTACAACATTTTGATAATATTTTCGATTTTTAGCCGTCGATGTTTACCTTAAAACAAAACAATATGAGAAATATAATGAGATAATGTTTATTACTCATGAACCTTCTTCGCAATTATTCGTTTTTGCCACAGTTTTGGGATCTCCTTCCCTCCTAAATGCGAACGTAATTTTAACAACACCTGAGTGAATGTACGGAACGCTTCAATTAATTCTAGTTTTATTTTTGTCTAAGTGTGAAGAATACGGACGACGTGGGTGGCCGCGGTGGCGAAGAGCATGTACCGACTCAACGCTTCGGCCCGGAGGGTCGCGCGTTCGAGTCCTGCCTTGTTTCTCCCTTGTTTCTTATGTGTTGTCGCGAAGGGCCTCGCGTTCTGCTGACCACAGATCCGAGGAGCCCGCAAAATATGTTAACGTCCAGTGTATGGTCGAAAATGCGTCCCTCGGGACGCAAAGGGGAACCGGCTGTCGGCTGGAAAAATCCCTAAGACGAAGAAGAAGGAAATAAAATACATGAAGATAAAGTTATAAAATTTAGGTTAGGCCTGAAGTAAACTTTGGTGCTCTTGTTATGATTTAGTTTAATATTGTAAAAACTTCGTAATTCTTTGTCACTTTTATATAAATCTTAGTTTTATGAGAACAATAAACTATTATTTTATTATTATTATTAATTTTGTTATTATTTACTCATTCAAAAGTCATATCCTCATTATTTTAGCTCATTAACATGGTACGAAAATGACTTCAGGCGTGAGTTTCTGAAATTACATTCTCGTGTGTAGCTGTGCTTGGAGCAGTCCTCTCCGCTCATTCTCGAGGCCATTGGGGCTTTGTCCGTGTTGATTCAGTTGCGTAACACAAGAGACTAGGCGGATGACCATTGGACCAGCTGTAGAGACGTTTTAGGCGCATGCGTGCTGATAAAGGGGTTATACGAAGAACGGAAAATACTCGTCAGTTTGCCATCTGTTTCTAGCGATGTCGGACGCGGAGCAGGAGGCAGGAATTGTAAGTACTTTCACTATTGTAACTTTGAATTTCTAGAACCAACTATCAAAACACAAGTTTTATTTGACAACAAAAATATTTGACCTGGCCGGAACGGCGGTGTCGTCATAAACAACAAATAATGGACTAGACACTTCTTAACATTTTACGGTGGCGATGGTGTAACGGTTAGCGTATCGGACTATTATACTCAAGTTCGTAGGTTCAAACCCGATCGAAGCGGAAGTGAATTTTTAAGGTCGAAAAAATCCTTTGTACGCCTTCCTTCGAAGGCCGACTGTCCCATGCTAGTACATTTATTGCTTGTAGAAGATCCTGAAGCCTAAATGTAGCATCTGCGTTAAATTGAAATCACCTGTTCCCTCGCCCAAAAAATACATTCATTCTCCGCTAGTTGGTGAAAGGAGCTTAGCGAAATTTGCGTGGTCAGGCAGAAGAGCGGGTCTCATGCCCTGAGTCTCGCCACGTAAAATAAGGCATCAATTCAATTCAAATAATATTTAAAACCGGTTCAATCATAGATTACAAGATGACTACCTTTTCTCAAGCCATCTTTTTTGTTTAAACAAATTAGTCACATTAAAACATTCCTTATAGAGGGATAATTCATACTTTTACATCTTGTCTTCAAAGCACCTTGAACTGTCTCAAAATTTTCTTCTATCATAGCGGATTCAAATACGAAATTACCGATGATTAAGTGAGAACTACAGACCACAAAACATTGAATACGTTGGATGTACAAATAGCTTCAACGTGGATGCAGAATTGGCCAGATCAATTATTTTCTTTGTAATATTATACACAACATATTATATTAGGTATAGTTGTTTACATTTACCTTTCTGTTTACATAATAAACACATGAGATTTTAAAGGAATGTATTACTCGCTTTACTTTCAAGAAATGTTTGGAATATTAAATTTGATAGTGCCGACTCATTCCATTCCTCATACTGTCGGTAAAAATGATTCTGTGATAGTGGCAGATTTTGTGAAAGCCGTTAAGGAAAGACAATGTTGAAAAGTTTTTGTGATATTTCCCGACAAAAGTGTGGAGTCTTACGACGTTTTGGGGTTTCGAATACATTTTAAACAACAACATCAGGTGATGTAAGTTTAAATACACATTGAGGTTTGCGACTTGTAAGCTTCCTGCGGTGACAGGAACGGGCAACG